AGATCACGTAAGAATATAGGCTTGCTGCTGCTGCTGCTGCTGTTGTTGCTGTTGCTGCTGCTGTTGCTGTTGTTGCTGGCGTCCAAGTAGCTGCTGCACGGGGCACCGCAGCAACTGCAGCAAAGGCAAGAGGAGGTTGCGTCGACCCCCTCATTGCTACTTGTCCCGTTGTTGCCCCTATTGCTGCTGCTGCTGCTGTTGCTGCTGCTGCTGCTGCTGCAGGGAGTGTGCAGCAGGAGTCTGTTTAAGAATGCAGCAACAGCAGCAACTTCGTCACGAGGAATCTTTAGGGCAAAGCCACCAGCAAAACGTAAGGAGACAGCTTGCTCTCCTCGTAGAGGGAATGCTGCTGCTGCTGCTGCTGCAGCAGCAGCAACAGATGCTGCTTCTCTTGATAGTGCTGCTGCTGTCTCTGCTGCTGTTGTCCTTGGTACTAGACTGGCTGGTTTTGTAGGCTGGGCTGCGCTGCTGCTGGTGCTGTTGTTGCTGCTCGCTGCTGCTGCTGCTTTGAGCTGCTGCAGCTGCTGCAGGCGATGCTGCAGTTGCTGCAGTTGCTGCTGCTGCTTCCTGAGGGACTGTAATGTGTGTCCCTTTGCATGCAGCACTTTAGCTATTTTAGGCCCGACACCGAATATAAGCTGCAGCTCCTGCTGCGCTGCTGCTGCTGCTGCATCCTCCTGCAGCAGCAGCGTCCTGCTGCTGCTGCCCTTAGCAGCAATCTCCTTTATTGTCTCCATAACTGCAGCACCAATCCCTGGTAAGAACTTCAGCAGCGGCAGTCTCTCTATTGTTAGTCCTTGTCTAAGTTCAGCAGCAGCAGCAGCAGCAGCAGCAGCAGCAGCAGCAGCAGCAGGTGCTGCTGCTGGTGATGCTGTAGATGTACGTGTCTTTGACGCCGTTGCAGTACGTGTGGTAGACGTGCTGCTGTTGCTGTTGTTGTTGTTGCTGCTGCTGCATGCAGCAGCAACTGCAGCAGCAGCACGACGGAAGCCAGCAGCACGCCAGGTGTCTCCTTGCTGCCTATACACCGCAGCAACTTCTTTTAATTCCCTAACTATTAACTCTGCTAAATCATTACTGCTGCTGCTTGTTGCTTCTGTTGCTGCTGTTGCTTCTGTTGCTGCTGTTGCTGCCGTTGCTGCTGTTGCTGCCGTTGCTGCTGTTGCTGCCGTGGTTACGGACGTGGTTCGCGGTGCTGCTGCTGCTGCTGATGACTCGCCCTGTGCAGCTGCTGCAGCTACCGTACGTCTAACAGCAGTAGTTGCTGCTGCTGCTGCTGCTGCTGCTGCTGCTGCTGCTGGCCCCGGTAGTTCTGCTGCTGCAGGTTTCGCATCTGAGGCAGCAGCAGCAGCAGCAGAAGCAGCAACAGTAGCAGCAGCAGCAGCAGCAGAAGCTGCAACAGTAGCAGCAGCAGCAGCAATATCCTTAACAGGGTTAAGGCTTGCTGCCTGCCTAGCCGGGCCTTCTGAACACTCGCGCACCTTCCGCTGCTGTTGCTGCTGCTGCAGTTGCTGCAGTTGCTGCTGTTGCTGCGCTAGCTGCTGCTGTTGCTGTTGATGCTGCTCCCCCTTCCTTCTTTTTGGAGAATGATAATAACACCAGGCATCCGCGAGTGCTGCTGCTGTTGCTGCTGCTGCTGCTGCTGTTTTTGTTGGTGTTGCTGCTGTTGCTTCTGCGACTGGTGCTGATGTTGCTGCTGTCGTTGCTGCTGCGGCAGTTGCTGTTGCTGCTGCAATATCTGCTTTACTCTCTCCTTTTTGCTCGACTGTTGGAGAAGTAAATGCTTCTGCATTTCTCTGTTGCGTTTGCTGCTGCGTTTGCTGCTGCTGCTGCTGCTGCTGCTGTTTCTGAGCAGCAGCAGCAGCAGCAGCAGCAGCAGCAGCAAGGGCTTTAAGGGGTTGTGGTGTATTGGGCCGCAGCACAGACCCCACAGTTAGACTAACACCCACCAACTCTGGCTCGTCATCATCAGAGCTGCTGCTTGCTGCTGGTGCTGCTGCTGCTGCTGTTGCTCTTGCTGCTGTTGCTGCTGTTGCTGTTGCTATCGCTGCATCTGCTGCCGCTGCTACTGCTTCATCTGCCCCTCCTCCTGCAGCTGACGTTGTGCTGCTGCAGTTCCTGCTCCTCCGGGGACCGTCCATGCTGCTCTTGGGGGCCCACAAGGGCCCCCCAGTCCGTCAAGTGGTCCATTGGGGGCCCCCCTGATTTAGGGGGGCCCTTATTAACAGAGCACTGATGATTTAATCTTTTTATTATAATTTATTTATTTAATTTAAAAGAAAAAAAGATCTTTTATAGGACAGTGCAGATCTAGGGGGGCCCCAATCCAATAGTACCCTTTCTTGCCGGTCTGGGGGCCCCTGAGCAGCACGGGGAGGCCTGCCTACGGAAAAGGGAGGGGCCCCCTTATACTTTCCTTTTATAGGGATTTATTTTATTTTATTTTATCCTTTTACCTAAAAGTATTTTTTTTTAATAAGATTCATCTAATACAACTAAATAATATCCCAGGGGGGCCCCTTCATTAGCTTAGGTGACCCTACTCGCCCTGTAGGGGGCCCCTGCAGAGGGCCCCCCTGACAGGGGACCCCTTAGAGGGGCCCCTGCTGGCAGGGGCTCTCCCTGTGACCCCAAGGAGTATTCCCCCAGTGGTCACCCCTAAGGGCCCCTGTGGCGTCTAAGGGACCCTACAGCCCCCTCGTAAGAAGGGGCCCCCGAGGGCCCCTTCTTACGAGGTAAGGAGGGGCACATAAGAGATAGGAAAGGGCCCCTGGGGGGGCCTCAAGTGTTAAGGGAAGCGGAAGCAGTTTTTCTTAAGGCAACTGCACTGTACAGGCAGGGGCCCCCCTCCTGACGTGTTGACTGTCTTGCAAAGGGGGGCCCCTAGGCCTCTCTATGCAGACAAAAGCAGCAGCAACAATAATAACAGGCAAGACCAGCAGCAACAACAACAAAAAGCAGCAGCAGCAAGGGCAAGAAACAGCAGCCGCAGCAGCAGCAGCAAGGGCAAGAAGCAGCAACAGCACCAGCAGCACCAGCAAAAACTGCAGCAGCAGCAAAAAGCAGCTGAGAACAGAAGCGTCCATAGCAGCAGCTGAACCCTAGCAGCAGCAATAACAGCAGAAAAGCAACTACAGCAGCAGCAGCAGCAGCAGCAGTAGCTGTACCAACAATAACGGCAGTATAGCAACAGACAAGCAACAGCAACAGCAGCAGAAAGGATTAGTACAGCAGCACAGCAACAGAGGCACCACAGCAGCAGCAACAGCAACAGCAGCAGCAGCAGCAGCAGCACAAATGATTAGTACCCGCATTGTTAAGTTAGGGTGTATATACACCTCGTGCTGCGCTGCTGTGCTATGACAGCAAAACGCATGCAAGCAGCAGCAAACACAGATCTTAAACAACTAGGCAGCAGCAGCAGAAGCAGCAAATCTATATCTGCCTGCTGCTGCGCCTAAGAGAGAAGCAGCAGCAGCTGCTGTTGCTGTTGCTGCTATCGCTGTGGTTGAAGGAGCAGCAGCAGCAGGTGCTGCTGCTGTTGCTGCTGCTGTTGTAGGTTATCTGACTGACTACAGCAGCAGCTGCTGCAGCAACAGCAGCAACCTCAGCATTTGCTTCTGACTTGCTGCAGCCGCTGCAGCTATTGCTGCTGCTCCTGCGGCCCCGTTCAGCAGCAGGGGCAGCTGTCGCTGCTGCTGCTGCTGCTGCTGCTGTCGGGGTCCCCGGGGGCCCCCGTATCTTGTGAGTTAAGTGTATAGAATGCATTTGCTGCAGCAAGGACGAGTTTGTTGCATTGCTGCTGCATGGCCATTCTTACAGCGGAGGAGGGGCCCCCCTGGGGGCCCCCTAGGGGCCCCCCATGGGGGCCATCTGGGGGCCCCTGTTGTGTTGCATTAAGGTTATTAAGAAGGGTATTGTAGTACTGTTTGCTGCTCCATAGCCATAAAGATGTGCTGCAGTACCCTGTTAGGGCCCCCAAGGAGAACCACCTTAGGGCCATTGGTGCAGGTATGCGGGCCCCCGGGGGCCCCTTAGCAACAAAGAGAGTACGGAGATGGGGTAGGGGTTAGGGGCCCCCTTCCTGCTATGTCTGGGGGGGCCCCTTGGAGGAGGAGGAGAGGGTAATGGGGGCCCCCCTAAAGGTATACAGGTATAAAAAGGTATTAAAAGGAATAAAATAATAAAATAATTAAATAAAAAATAAAAAAAGAAGAAAAAAAGGAAAAAAAGACAGGGAGAAAGACACCTGCAGCAGCAAGATAGAATAAGGGGGCCCCCCCAACAGCAGCAGCAGCAGCAGCAGAAGCAGCAGCAGAAGCAGCAGCAACAGCAGCAAGAGAGAAAGGAGATAAGGAAATAAAAGTTATATTAATTGTTAATTAAAAAGAAAAGGAGACAATTTATTTAATTATTGTCTCCTCTTGCTGCAGCAAATGCAGCAAAATAACACTAGGGGGGCCCCCTCTATTTAGAGGGGCCCCCCTAATAACCTTTATGCGGATAATAAATAAATTATTAATTAATTAATTAATTTATTTATTTATTTTATTTATTTAATTAATTTAATTTATTTATTTAATTTATTTATTTAATTTATTTATTAAGGAGACACACATAGTATCAATCAGCAACAGCAACAGCAGCAGCAGCAGCAGCAGCAGCAGCAGCAGCAGCAGCAAAAAAAGTATTTGTTGTTGTTGCTGCTGCTGCTGCTATTGCTGCTACTATCGCTGCGACAGTTGGTGTTGTTGCTTGTGCTGCTGCTACAGTTGTGTTGTTGCTGCTGCTGCTGCTGTTGGTGCTGCTTCTGCTTCTGCTGCTGCTGCTGCTGCTGCTGCTGCTGCTGCTGCTGCTGCTTCTTTTAGCTTATCTACAAGTGCTGCTGCCTCGTGTGGCTTTGGTGATGCCTGCAGCAGCAAAGAGCGCAGTATTCCTACAGTTTGCTGCTGCTGCTGCAGCTGTGCTGATTCTGCTGCTGCTGCTGCTGCTGCTTCTTGCCAGTCCCGTGTCAGTGCAGCACGCTGCGCCTGAACCAACAGCAGCAAACGCAGCAACAGCAGCAAACGCAGCAACAGCAGCAAACGCAGCAACAACAGCAGCAGCAACAATAAAAGATAAATAAACAAAATAAAACAAAAAGGACACAAAAAAAAAGAGACAAAAAAAAGGAGAAAAAAAAAGGAGACAAAAAAGGGAGAGAAAAAAAGGAGAGAAAAAAAGGAGAGAAAAAAGGAGACAATAAAAAAGGAGACAATAAAAAAGGAGACAAAAAAGGAGACAAAAAAGGAGACAAAAAAGGGAGAGGAAAAAAAGGAGACAAAAAAAAGGAGACAAAAAGAAAGGAGACAAAAAGAAAGGAGAGAAAAAAGGAGACAATAAAAAAGGAGACAATAAAAAAGGAGAGAACAAAGGAGAGAAAAGAAAGGAGACAAAAAAGGAGACAAAAAAGGAGACAAAAAAGGAGAAAATAAAAAAGGAGACAAAAAAAGAAGAGAATAACCTGATTGTTATTATTTTGTTGATGAATTCTTTTTGTCTCTTCCTCGATGACACGAACAGCAGCAGCACACACAGGACGCCCGTATACTACACGCACTCTCCTTCCCTTGCTGCTGCTGCTGCTGCTGCTGCTGCTGTTGCTGCTGCTGCTGCTGCTGCTGTTGCTGGTGGTGGTGGTGGTGGTGCTGCTGCTGCTGCCATCAACTTGAATCATCTCTCCTGTTGCGTCTGTTTGTACATCCTTATTTCCTTGTGCAGCAGGATCCTGCTGCTGCTGCTGCTGCACTTGCTGCTGCTGTTGCTGCTGTTGCTGCTGTTGTTGCTGTTTTTCTTGTTGCTGTTTATGTATAACATCAGCACAATATTGATTAGCAGCAAGATCTGCTAGTACCCTTTTCTTAATAGATAGGGGCCCCCTCCATGTATACCCATGAGGAAGGGCCCAGCAGCATAGGTGCAGCAGCAGCAGATCTGAGCAGCAAGATAGATCATCTGCTGCTTCTGCTAGCCGCTGCAGCAGCACATCCCTTAATGGTAGCTGCCTATACACCCTACCCCCTATAATTGAATATATACGTTGCTGCTGCTGCTGCAGCAAACCATGAATAGACTGTCTCCTCTCTATTAGTCCTATAACAAATATACCTTTTATACGGTAATAATTACATCTTGCTGCTAGTGCTGCTGCTGCTGCTGCTGTCTGTTCTCCTTCTTCTCCTTGTTGCTGCTGCTCCTGCTGCTGTTGTTGCTCTTGTTGCTCTTGTTGTTGTCCTCTATCTTGTTCTTTCTTCTCCTGCTTCTCCTGCATCTCCTGCTTCTCCTGCTGCTTCTCCTGCTGCTGCTGCTGCTGCTGCTGCTGCTGCTGCTGCTGCTGCTGCTGCTGCTGCTGCTGCTGGGGTAAGGAAGGAGCATTCTTATGTATTAGATGTAGATTATTATGTATAACAATAAAGGAGACACCTGTCTCCTTTTCTTCATCAATTATTTCCCCTAGCTTTTTCCTCTCATTAATAAGTAAATGTTGACGATATAAATAAGATTGTGCTGCTGCTGCTGCTGCTGCTGCTGCTGCTGCTGATCCTGATCCTGCTGATCCTGATCCTGATTGGATCTGTCCTCCTGCTGCACCTTCTTGTCCTGATTGTAATGATTGTCCTGTTGCTGCTGCTGCTGCTGCTGCTGCTGCTGCTGCTGTTGCTGTTGCTGTTGCTGCTGTTGTTGTTGCAGATGTATGTATAATATGATGTGATGAATCAGCTGCTGCTGCAGCAGCAGCATTAGCAGCAGCAGCAGCAGCAGCAGCACATTGTGCTCTTACCTCTGCATAAAAAGGAGATAAAGAAAAATAATCAAGAGCAGCAGCAGCAGAATCAAGGGGACGATTCATAAGAAAAGACCAATCAATAAAACTACGTAAACTGTCTCTTCTTATTTCTGTCTCCTTATATGCTGGCCAATCATTTATACTCATCTTCCTGCTGCTGCTCCTCCTCCTGCTGCTGCTGCTGCTGCTGCTGATGCTGCTGATGCTGGTGGTGGTGCTGGTTATGTGGTGGTCGTGGGGGGGGAGGTGCTGCTGCTGTTCTTGTCCTGCTGCTGCTGCTGCTGCTGCAGATGCTGCGCCAATGACGTTCCTGCTGGTGGTGAGGCAACACAGATGCTGCTATTGCTGCTGCTGCTGCTGCTACTGTTGCTGTTGTTGTTGCTGCTGCTGCTGCTGCTGCTGCTGCTGCTGCTCTTCCTTTAGCAGGTGAGATTACCGTTGCTGCGGCTCCTGCTGCTGCTGCTGCTGCTGCTGCTGCTGCTGCTGCTGCTGCTGCTGCTCCTTAGAGCGGGTGGCGCTGCTAGTAAATGCAAAGACAATTCTTCAGCTGCTCTTTAAACAAATACAAGAAGCAACTCTACGCCTGCTGCTGCTGCTGCTGCTGCTGCTGCTGTTGCTGCTGCTGCTGCATGAGTATGGCGGGAGCAAGCAGCAGCACTTGTGGTGTCCAACCTCTATCTAAATCCTTTCTATGCATCAATACAAATAAAAATGTTTAATAAAAAATATCTCTTTGCTGCTGCTGCTGCTGCAATTGTTGCTGCAACTCCTGCTGTTGCTGCTGCTGCTGCTGCTGTCGGTAGGTCGGGGGACAGTTTCGAGGTTCTAGGGTTTAGGGTTTAGGGTTTAGGGTTAAGGGTTTAGGGTTTAGGGTTTAGGGTTTACAATAAATGGTAAAGATGCATGCATTATTTGTGGTATTCTCTGCAGCAACAAATATGAGGGTTTCTTTGGGGGGCCCCCCGGGGGGCCCCTCGAGCAGCACTGCAGCAGCAGCACAGCAGCAGCAGCAGCAGCAGCAGCAGCAGCAGCAGCAGCAGCAACAGAGCCTTCTTTTTTATAAGCTTAATAGAAGACACAAAAGGGTTTATTTATGCTTCTAAGATTTCAATACATTTGTGTATTTATCACCTACTGCTTGTGCTGCTGCTGCTGCTGCTGTTGCTGCTGCTGCTGCTGCTGCTGCTGCTGCTGCTGCTGCAGCATTAGCAGCAAATCGACCTGAGGGGTTTCTTAGCCTGCTGCTGCAAGAGTGACAAGAATTTGTTTATGGCAGCAGCAGCAGAAGCAACAGCAGCAACAGCAGCAAAATAAGGCCTTCTGCTGCAGCTAAAGGAAGAAGACACAACCTCTGCCTCAATAGCAGCAACACCATTAACAGCAGCAGCAGCAGCAGCAGCAGCAGCAGCAAATACATCTGCAGCAGCTGCAGTATTACCAACAGCAGCACTAACAGCATTAACAGAAGAAGGACCAGCAGCAGCAGCAATATCACTAGCAGCAGCAATAACTGCAGCAGGAATATCCCAGTAACACCAGCAGCACCAACAACAGCAGCAGCAGCAACAGCAGCAACAGCAGCAACAGCAGCAGCAGCAGCAGCAAGATGTGGGAGCCTTATTCAGGTGTACCTCGTGCTGCACTATCTGCTGCTTGCTTCTTACGTCCCCCTGGATACTATAAGAGGGCCTCCTTAAGGGAGACACCCCACAGATCAGGTGCAGCAGCAGCAGCAGCAGCAGCAGCAGCAGCAGGATCTCTTGTTAAGGCAGCAATTAGAAGAAGACTTAAAGCTGCTAGATACAATCTACTACCACCACCAAGGTCTGCTGCTGCTGCTGCTGCTGCTGCTGCTGCTGCTGCAGTTGCTGCCGTTGCTGCTGGAATTGCTGGTGGTGCTGCTGGTTCTGCTGCTGGTGCTGCTGCAGAAGCATCAGATGCTGCTGCAGCAACAACAGCAGCAGCAACAGCAGCAACAGCAGCAACAGTATGAAGAAATATATTATATATATGTGTGTATATATTTATGCAGGTCAATACCTGTTGCTGCTCCTGCTGCTGGTCCTAAGCTGCTGCAGGACGTCCGTGGTGTACCTACAGTGTCTGCTGCTGCGCTGCAGCAGCGGCTAGCATTTTTATTATCAATTAAGGCGCAGCAGCAGCAGCAATTCGCTAAATTAAGGGAAGGATTAACTCCTTACCAGGCGGAACTATTTATGTGGAATAGACAGGTATACTGCTGCTGCTGCTGCTGTTGCTGCTGCTGCTGCTGCTGTTGCTGCTGCTGCTGTTGCTGCTGATGATGGCGGTGGTGCTGCTGCTGCTGTTGGTGCTTCTCTTGCTGTTCCTGCTGCTGCTGCTGCTGCTGCTGCTGAAGGATTAACTCCTTACCAGGCTGAATTATTTATGTAGAATAGACAGCTATAATGCTGCTGCTGCTGCTGCGTATTACGTGTATGTATATGTATATGTATACGTATACGTATACAAAAATATATGTATATGTATATGTATATGTATATGTATATGTATATGTATATGTATATGTATATGTATATGTATATATATACGTATATGTATATGTATATGTATATGTATATGTATATGTATATGTATATGTATACAAAGTTAGTAGAAGTTCGTCGTATATACCGTACATATGTGTATATGTATATACGTATACATATAAATATGTATATATGTATATATGTATATATGTATATATGTATATGTATATGTATATGTATACAAAGTTAGTAGAAGTTCGTCGTATATACCGTACATATGTGTATATGTATATACGTATACATATATATATGTATATATGTATATATGTATATATGTATATATGTATATATGTATATATGTATATATGTATATAGTTAGTAGAAGTTCGTCGTATATACCGTACATATGTGTATATGTATATACGTATACATATATATATGTATATATGTATATGTATATGTATATATATATGTATATGTATATGTATATGTATATGTATACAAAGTTAGTAGAAGTTCGTCGTATATACCGTGCTCAATATTTACAAAGATTAAGGGAAGTAACAAAAGAAGAACAACATAAACATTACTTACTTATGCAACAAACGCATGCAGGTATAATTTATTTGCTGCTTCTGCTGCTCCTGCTGCTGCTGCTTGTGCTGCTGCTTGTGGTGGTGGCGGTGGTGGTGGTGGTGCTGCTGCTGCTGCTGCTGCTGCTGCTGTTGGTGGTGATAGAGGAGGAGGAGGATGTGCTGCTGCTGTTGTAGCTCATGCTGCTGCTGCTGCTTCTGCTGTTCTATTGCTGCACTTGCTTCTCCTGCTGATGCTGCTGCTTGTACTCCTGCTGCTGCTGCTGCTGCTGCTGCTGCTGTGCTGCAGACAAGAAGATTAGGCGCGAGGAGGCGCTGCAGCGGCTGCTAGATGCAACAAAGACAAGGGCAATGATGCATGATAGGCAGCAGATAGACCGCAAAGGTACAACACTTGCTGCTGCTGCTGCTGCTGCTGCTGCTAATGTGTTGCTGCCTGCTTGCTGCTGCTGGCATTTAAGATACTTCTGCTGCTGTATGGCTGCTGCAGCAGCTGCAGCAGCCATACAGCAGCAGCAGCCATTTATTTAGGACAATACGCACTTGTACGGTGCTCCGTGTCTTCATATCCCTGTGCTGCTTTCTCCCTGCTGCTGCTGCTGCTGCTGCTAATGCTAATGCTGCTATTGTTGCTTGTGCTGCTGCTGCTGCTGCTGCTGCTGCTGCAGTGACGCAGGCAGTCCAGCTAGGACGTGTGTCTCGTAAGAAGACCGCTAATCTCTTATGGCTACACAAACTACAGGTATTTGCTGCTGATATGCTGCTGCTGCTGCTGCTGCAGCTGCTGCTGTTGTTGTTGTTGCAACAGCAGCATTTGCTGCAGCAGCAGCTGCTGCTGCTGCAGCGGCTTCTAGTGCGGTTACTGCTGCTGCAGTAGCTGCAATGCCAGATATGCCACACCGGGGATATCACGTCCTCCTGCAGCAGTAGCAGCAACAGCAGCAGCAACAGCAGCAGCAACAGCAGCAGCAACAGCAACAGCAACAGCAACAGCTGTAGCAGTCCCTTCCTTGAATTGTTTGCTGCTGTGCTGCAGTCTGCTGCTCACTATCAGCAAGCAGAGAAGGAGGCCCTTGATGAGGAAGGGGGGCCCGCACCTGCAGATACACCCGAAGAGCAGCAGCGTGCTGCAGCAGCAGCACAGAAAAAGGCCCTTAAATCTATAGAAGAAAGAAATGTATCCGCTACCCAAATACTACAGCATCTAGGTACCTTCTGCTGCTGCTGCTGCTGCTGCTGTTGCTGTTGCTGTTCCTGTTGCTGCTGCTGTTTCGTGGTCCTGGCTTGCTACTTTTATTGCTCTTGCTACTGCTGCACAAGCTGCTGCTGCTGCTACTGCAGCGTATGTTGCTGCTGCTGTTTGCATGCACTGCAGGTTTCTGCAAGGAGGAGCGCAAAGCCCCAAACAAGAAGATAACAGGCACAGACGATGTATTCAGGTATAGCAGCAGTAACACACAAGAGGGGCCTCCTTGGGGGCCCCCTAGGGGCCCCCCTAAGACCTTGGAGGCCCCCAGTTGTTGTGCGTATGGAATGTTTGTTTTGGGGCTTTGCTTAGGGATAGGCAATGCATGCATGCAAGGCTGCATGCAAAGATGCATGCATGCAAAGATGCATGAATGGAAAGATGCATGCATGCAAAGGTGCATGCATGCAAAGATGCATGCAGATGATTGTATGTTTTGTGCTGCAGACAAGTATTAGAGGAATCCTTCGCGTTGCTGCCTGAGGATGGGCCCCCAAGGGTGAATGCAGCAGCAGCAGCAGGAAGCAAATATGGTGCTGCTGCTGCTGCCATAGGGAGGAAGAGGTTGTCAGAGAAGGAAAGGGCAAGACTGCAATATGCTGCCTTCACAGGTAAACACAGCTGCTGCTGCTGCTCTTGCTGCTGCTGCTGCTGCTGCTGCTGCTGCTTGCGTGCCTGCAGCATGTAGACCGATTGGTTGCCTGCTTGTATTGCTTGTTGCTGTTGTAGCCAGCTATGACTAGCTGCTGTGACTAGCTCCTCTAGCTAGCTGCTGCTGCAACTAGCTAGCTAGCTAGCCAGCAAGCCAGCTAGCTAGCTAGCTAGCTATATAAATGTATATATGTGTATATATGTATATATACAGATGAGGAGAAGTTAAGTTTAATAGATGAGAAGATAAAGAATATAACAAAAGAAATAGATAAACAAACACAAATAAGAGGAATACCCAAAGATTTACTTCTTATACAGCTTAGAGATCATCTTGAGGCTGCTAAACAAGCTTATCTCGTAAACCCTAAACCCTAAACCCTAAACCCTAAATCCTAAACCCTAAACCCTAATTATCATTATAATCATAAAAAATATAAACCCTAATAATCATAAATAGCTCAGGAATCATAACATCATAAGAATCATATGCCCTAGGGATCATAAACTATACCAACACTAAACCCTAATAACCCTAGGAACCCTAAACCCTAAACCCTAAACCCTAAACCCTGCTGCATAGGGGTGATTTTTATTTATGTGTTGTTTGTTTCTTGTCTATAGGAAGGGAAGTATATAGAGGAGACAGAAAAGAGAATGCAGCAGCAGCAAGAGCAGGAGAAGCAGCAGCAACAGAAGGAACAGCAGAAACTCCAGCAGCAGGAGCAGCAGCAGGAGGGCACAGGGGACAGCAAGGAATGATGATAGGCTCCGCTACCCTTGGACCTATCAACATTAAACCCATTAGTATAGATGGGGGGCCCTATGATGGGGGGCCCCTAAAATGGGGCCCACATAATCGGGGGGGCCCCGACTAGGGAGGAGGCTGCTTGTGTCTCCAATTATTGTTGTAGCTGCTGCTTGCATGCAACATTTTATTTGTTTTATTTCCCTTCCCTTCCTTAACAAAGCCCCAAGACCTTAAAAGGCCCCATGGGTCTTTTAAGTGGGGGGCCCTGTTATGTTAGGGGGGCCCTTGTTCTGCTCGGGGGGCCCTCTAATTTTAGGGGGGCCCCTGTTGGGGTGGGGGCCCGCATTGCTTGCCAACTGCCCTGGAATTTGAAGGAATTATACAGTTTGACCTTAGTTTCAATAAGGTCCAGCGGCTGCTGCTGCTGCAGTACCAGCAGCAGCAGCTGCTGCTGTTGGTGGCCTTGTGCTCGCTTGAGGCGTGCGGGCGGGGCTGCTGTTGTTGTTGCTGCTGCTGTTACTGATGCAGTTATGTTTTCTTTTTAAATAGTAAATAAATATATTTATTTAATTTTAATTATATTTTATTATAATAAAAAGGGGTAATAAACCCCTAAAGGAAGAGTAAAGAACGAGACACACCGCCATCAGCAAGACACTCGAAGTGACCCTACAGCAGCAGCAACAGCAGCAGCAGCAGCGGAAGCCGCGGCAGCAGCATAGTTGTTTTGCTGTTTATTGTTTGCAATGCTTACAAGAAAATTCCAGATAAACAGCAGCAATACAAGCCTTGGCAGCTTAGCTAAGGTTTAGGGTTTTGTGTTTAGGGTTTAGTGTTTAGGGTTTAGGGTTTAGGGTTGGAAGCCATGTTATCTGAGAGACCCCGACATTCTAAGCCTAACTGCTGGGCCCAGGGGCCCCTGGCGTGTGGGCCCCTACGAGGCCCCTAGGTAGCAATGATTAGACTGGGGGGCCCCCACTTAGCTCATTAATGTTTAGGGTTTAGGGTTTAGGGTTTAGAGTGTTGCCCTCTGGGGCCACCCTATTGAAGAGGGTCGGGGGATACCCGACGAAAAAATAACTCAACAGTAGCAGGAGCAAGTGTTGCTGCAGCAAGCGCTGCTGCTGTTGCTGCTGCAGCAGCAGCAACAAGCCATTTACGGACGGCAGCACGGAGCAACATTTGCAGCGCTCTGAGGGGCCCCCCTTCATTTTTTTTTAAACCCCTTTTTAAGCCCCATGCCGTTCTTTAGGGGGCCCCTTGGGGGGGGCAGGAAGAAGTCTGCTGCTGCTCCTGCTGATGCTGCTGCTGATGCTCCTGCGGAGGAGAATGTTGCTGCTACCAAGGGTAACGACAAGAAGAAGAAGAAGCAGCAGAAGCAGAAGGAAAATGCAGGAGCAGAGGATGCGCAGCAAGAGCAGCAGCAGCAAGAGCAGCAGCAGCAGCAGCAAGAAGAGCAGCAGCAACCGAACGGCGAGCAGCAACAGCAGCACCTAACAGCACCTGAAGAAACCCGTGACGAAAGCTGGCCTTCGCCCCAACAGCAGCAGCAGCAACAGCAACAGGAGCAGCAGCAGCAGCAAGAGCCATACCAAAAGCAGCAGACAACAGACAAAGGCGGTGAGCTCAGGTAGTTATTACAAATTGGTGGCTAGCTGTCGCAACTGCTGCAGCAACTGCTGCAGCAACTGCTGCTGCTGCTGCAAAAAGCCTGCTGTTGCTGCCCTTGCTGCAGTCCCTGCTGTTTGCGGTGCTTCTGCAGTTCGTGCTAGTACTGCCGCTGCTTCAGTACCTGCTCCTGCTTCCGTACATGTTGCTTCTGGTGCTGCTGCTGCTGCTGCTGCTGCTGCTGCTGCTGCTGCTGCTATTGGGCCCTTTCTGTTTAAGGAAGGGGCATCCGGCTACTGCCTGTTGCTGTATGCGTATTGCTGCTGCTGGTGTACAGGCCATTCCGTCTCCATTGCTGCCGAAGCAGTTGTACAACAAGCAGGAGCAGCAGCAGCAACAGACTCAGCAGCAGCATCAGACGGAGGTTCAGCAGCAGCGGGAGATGGAGCGGCAGCAGCAGGAGCAGCAGCAGCAGCAGATGGCTCCCGTTCTGCCCAATTGTGGCGGGGTCTTAGTGATTTACCTCCTTACCTTCAATACAATTCAAGAGGATCCTTTAGAGGACTCCCTTCACAGCAGCAGCAAACGTGTAAACCCTAAACCCTAAACCCTAAACCCTAAACCCTAAACACTTGACCGTAAGGATAGGCAGTTATTTTACTAGCACTAGCAGCGCTGCTAACTGTATAACAACAACTGCTGATGATGCCGTGTGCAGCAGCAGCAGCAACAGCAGCAGCAGCAGTCGGATCTGCACTTCCACCACCATCACGACCGCGAACTGGTGTTTGTGTGCGTGTGCTGCTGCTGCTGCTGCTTAGCGGGGAGTTCTTCTTCTGGAGAGGAAGGTGGTGTCGTTGCTGGGGGCCCCCTTGCTGAGGCGCTGCAGCAACGTGGTTGTGCTGTAGGTGTCCGTGTAAGACCTGAGTCATTAGAGGAGGTACAGTTGGGTTCCCCGTGTTGTTTACAGGTGGGTCCCCCATGGGGGGGCCCACCTGGGGGCCCCCCTCCTGGCCCTCAGGGGGGCCCCCAAGGGGGCCCCCCACGTGAGGTTCAGGTGCAGGGGCCCCGTAGTCAAGTCCATCGTTTTTCTTTTGATTATGTATTTAATCAGAGGGCATCACAAGAAGAAGTATTTGCTGTTGCTTGTCGTCCTCTTATTGCCTCTGCATTAAAGGGTATATCTGGTGCTGTATTAGTATATGGGCAAACAGGTGCAGGAAAAACTTATACCATGATGGGGCCCCCGGATGGAACTTGGGGTGGAGGGGGGGCCTCTTGGGGGGGCCCTAATGGAGGGGGGAACCGAGGTGCACATAGACGCTCCCAAACACGCAATCAGCAATACGGCAGCAGCAGCAGCAGCAGTACTAGTGGTAGACGCTCCTACCCGTCAGGTGGACGAGGGCCCCTTGATGAGAATAGAGGGGGTAGCAGCAGCTATAGATGGGGGCAAGCAGAGCAGCAGTCGGCGTGGGCAGATGCTATGAAGGGGGCCCCCTGGGCATATGAGGGTGGTGCGGGGCCCCCGCAGGACGAGGGGGGCCCGCCAGAAGGGGAGGGGGGCCCCCCTCTATCTGTAGGAGACACAGAAGGGGACGATGGGGTACTACAAAGACATTCCCTACAAATGACAGATCTAAGGGGATTAATGCCGAGGGCATTAGAGGAACTTTTTAAAGCTATTGAGGCTAGGGGGGCCCCCCAGGGGGCCCCCCAAACACCTGAAGATCAAAAGGGTACTTCTAGTACTGGTGTCTTCCCTCCTGGTGGGGGCCCCCCCGGCGCCTTCCCTGCTGACGGGGGCCCCCCAGGTTCCTTCCCTCCTGGTGGGGGGCCCCAAGGAGGTGTAGAGGTCCATTTAACAGCAACGTTAGTAGAGATATATAATGAGAGGATAAGGGACCTACTAAACCCTTCTAGGGGCCCCCTAACTGTAAGGGAGGCCCCTAATGGTCATACTATTGTTAGTGATGCAACAGAGGCCCCTCTAACGAGCTATCAACAAGCTATGCAGGTTAGATCCTTTGGTGTCTCCTTTTCTCTCCTTTTGTCTCCTTTTCTCTCCTTTTATCTCCTTTTGTCTCCTTTTATCTCCTTTTGTCTCCTTTTGGTTATATCCTTCCTCCTCCGGTCTCCTTCTGTCTTCTTGTGTTTCCTTTTGCTTTCTTTTGTCTCTTTTGCATAATTGCCTCTATAACAACTTTTACTGCTGCCGCCTTTTTGCTGCGTCAAGACTTTCATTCTCCTGCTGCTGTTGTTGCTGCTGCTGCTACTACTACTGCTGCTGTTGCTGCTGCTGCTACAACTGCTAGTACTGCAGTTGCTGATTTTGCTGTTGTTGCTGCTCTTCATCGGTCACTACTACCTGCTCTCTCCTTGATATTTATGCTCCTTCTGTTCCTCCTTCCCTTGCTCCTGCTTCTATTCCTTTTGCTGTTGCTGTTTCTGTTGCTGTTGTTGTTGCTGTTGCTGCTGTTGCTGCTGTTGCAGTTACTATGGTATGGTTTACAGAGTCGTGCATGCGGTCTAACAGCAGAGAATGCTGTCTCCTCTCGTAGTCATGCATTTTTATCAATAACATTAAATCAACGAAGTCGTCAAGAAGGGAAGACAATTATATCTACACTTAATTTCTTTGATCTAGCAGGAAGCGAGAGAGGAGACACTACTAAAGGAGATACATGCATGCAAGAGACACATAGTATTAATAGATCTCTTCTTGCATTAGGTAATGTTATTAATGCACTTACTGCAGGGCCCCCAAGATGTCCTAGTAGTCAAGCAGGGGCCAACGTAAGACCATCAGCACCAACAGCAGCACCAGGAACTGCAGCAGGACGAGGTAGCATACAAGCAGGGCCTCCTGGCAGAAGAGGTAGTATGACACCCCAACCAGTTGGGGGGCCCCCAGGAGTTGGCCCACCTGGGCGGCGTCAATCGGGTGGGGCCCCTGGGGCACCAGGAGCTCCAGGAGCCCCTGGAGCCCCAGGGGGCCCCGGAGGCCCTGGTGGGCCCAGGAGAAGACACGTACCTTATAGGGAGAGCAAGTTAACACGATTATTAGGACATTCATTAGGGGGTAATGGATTAGCTGTGTTAATAATATGTTGTAGCCCTAAGAGCGATAATAGACAGGAGACAGTTGCTTCTCTTAGGTTTGGCTTACGGGCACTACAATTAATAAATAAACCTGCAGTAAAGGAGACAGTCTCTGCTTCTTCCTTAAAGGAACAACTTATAGAGACACAACAAACATTAAGAATGTATGAGGCTTGTCTACGATCTCTTAGGGTTGCTGTAGGGCAGCAGCAGCAAGCTATTGGTCTGCTGCAGCAATTTATACCCTCGGGGGCCCCCGTCTCACAGCAGCAGCTCAATCTTCTTAGACGAGCAGCAGCAGCAGCAAAAGAGGCTATCCTTGCTGATGCAGCAGCACATCTGTCAGGGGGCCCCTATGCCCTTTCACAGCAGCAGCAGCTTAGTTGTGGGGGCCCCACAATCAGGTCAGCATCGCAGACACCGTCTTCATCCTCAGCAGCAGCAACAGCAGCAGCAGCTGCTGCTGCAGATGACAGAAGACGAACACAATCCTGTCCCCCTAGCAGCAAAACAATCAATGCAGCAGAATATAGGGGACCACGCAGCAGCAGTACTAACCCTCGTGCACCACCTTCTTTCACCAGTACCACTGCAGCAGCACGTGCAGGCAACAGACCGGGGCCCCCGGGGGGCCCAAGGGCCCCGCGTCCCTCCCAAGCTGCTGCAGCACAAGCTAGAGGAGCTGCTGCTGTTGCTGCTGCGCAAAGGAGAAAGGCAGCGGAAATGGAGAGACAGCGCAACATTGAAGCAGCAAGAAGAGCAGCAGCAGCAAGACAGGCCCTTCGGGCAACCAACATGCAGCGAAATCAAGCAGCAGCCGGAGCAGCAGCAGGAGCGGCAGCAGGAGCTGCCGTAGGAGCAGCAGTAGGAGCAGCAGCAGCAGCAAAGCCCGAAGAACCTGCGGCGCCAGCACCAGAGCCAACCTCTGAAGCAGCAGCTGCTGCAGCAGCAGGAGAGGGGGACACCTCGCAAAAAGGCAGCCCCCCAGAAGGCGAGGAGACGTCTGTCAATTGGCTGCCCCAAGCAAAAGAGGCAGGGGGAGGTTAAGGGGCCCCCCACAGTTAAGGGGGGCCCCCGACAACAACATCAGCTCGGGGGGGACCCCACAGTTAAGCGGGGCCCCCTACAGTTAATGGGGGCCCCCAACAACAATCCCATTTAACGGGGGCCCCACTGCCTGTCGAGGGGGTACCCCACAGTTATGCTCTCTTTTTAATTACTGTCTCTCTTTTCGTCTCGATTGCTGTCTACTCCTTTTGCTGTCTCCTTCTGGTCTCTAAGCATGAAAGGTAGATAGCTGCCTCGTTTCTGTCGGCTTTTAGCTACGGGGCCCCTGAGGGAGCCTTGGGGGTCCGCTAATGAGGGAAGGGGTACACAAGCAACATCCTAGGACCCTAAACTAGGGGGCCTCCGCATCTACTAGGGTAGCGCATAAATAAAAATAACGGTTGGGGGGCACTAGGAAGCTGTCTTGGGGGCCCCTCGTAAAAATCCGTTTTGGGGGCCCCTCGCAAAACGCCCTTTGGGGGCCACTCGTAAAATGCCCTTTTGGGGGCCCCCACGTATACGGGGGGTCGGAGGGGGGGCATGTATACAGGGGGGCCCCTATATATTGTCCCACTCTATAAAAGCGCCTGCCGTGCATACACCGCACTGCATGTCCTCTGCTGCTCCCACCGCTGCAGCAGCAGAAGCCCCTCCAGCACTGCTGGGGATGGTTCCCGCTGCAGGGGGTACAATGGCGTAGGTTGCCATTTGGCAGGGGCCCCCTTGTTGGCTATTATCTTGGGGGCCCTTGATGGGTACAAAGACATGACCTAAAGCGTGCCAACCATTGGGTACACGGCATAGAGTAGCGCCCCCGGTCTCCCCATTAAGGGGGGCCCCAAAAAAAGGGGTACAGGGGGGGGCCCCCGCCCCTTCAAACATCACAGGGAAACGGAGTGCCTCAGGAAGGAGAGGAAGGGCCCCCTGGGGCCTCTCTGCTCTTACATCTAAGAGCCATATAGTAAGACGGACGGATAGAAGGGGCAGTACCGCACTGGCAGCAGCAGCAGCTGCTGCTGCTGGTGGCGAGTCATGGGGCCCCTGTTGCAGCAAACGAAGGCTATTTGCTGCTTTAAAAATGCATGCAGCAGCAGCGGTGTCTTGCATTTCCTCTTGCTTGGGGGCCCCTTGCTGGGGGGCCACCTTGATTGCTTCTGCTGCAGCCAGGACTGCAGCACAGACCTCTGCCAAGGGGGGCCCCCTAAGTGAGAGGTGCCAAGTCCAATAAGGGTTTTTGCTTCTGTATATAACGGGGCTGCATGCCTGTTCAATGTATAGAAGAGAGGTAGAGGGGCCACCACCGGGGGCCCCTAGTGGAGGCCCCCCGGGGACTCCCGCCGTCGAGCACTGTAGCGCCGGAGCTGTTGCTGCTGCAGCGGCAGCGACGCGAGGCAACAGCACAACTGCAGCAGTGACAAAGGAGGAAGGCAAGAGGGTCCCCAGACGCGGGAGGCCCTTCCCTCTCTCTACCTTCAAATAAATACTAAAGGGGGGGGCCCCAAGGGACTCTGGGCCCCCCCCAAGGGTACGTAAACCAGGCGTGATCGAGAACAACCTCCCAGAACTCCTGTCTGCTGCTGCTGCTGGTGTTTCTTCTGCTGTTGTTTCTGGTGCTGCTGTTCGTAGTGCTGCAGCTGCTGCTTCTGCTGCTGCTGCTTCTGCGGGGTCCTGAAGCATTTGAAGGAGTTCCCTCAACGACGGTGACAGGCGGTCCCAAGATGCAGCAGCAGGAGCTGCTGCTGTTGCTGCTGCTGGCGACCCCTTGGGGGCCCCTAAGTGGAGGCAAGAGAGCATGGATCTTGCTGCTGCCCACAAGTCAAAAACTTCTTCTGTTCCTCCCTCTGCCCTCCATATGTGCCTAAAGGCTAAGCAGCCATGCAGCAGCAGCCACTCCTCTGCTGTTAAGCTGCTGCTGCTGCTGCTGCTACTGCTGCTGTTACTGTTGTTGCTGCTGCTGAGGGCCGCAGACAGGTCCTCTGACGGAGTTGAGGGGTCGTGCGCTGCTATGGCCTGCAGCAGCAACGTCTGGAAACTACTCCACTGCAGCAGCCCGAAACCAAACTGCTGCTGCTGCTGTTGTTGCTGCTGCTGCTGACGCTCCCACATTTCCCGCAGCAAATAGGGAAGGAGAGGCTTTAGTTTTGCTGCTAAGCGATGGAGGGCCCCCATGATCAATAGGGGCCTCGCTAACACGGCTGTTGTAGGGGGCCCCTTAACAGCCCTTAGAAGAACCTCTAGGGCCTCGGGGGGGCCCTTCTCCCTGCAGGCAAGCATATAGCAGCAGCAGCAGCAGAAACAGCAGCTACATACAACCCAGTAGCTGCTGCACACAAAGGATCATCTGCCGCTACAGCAGCAAAAGCAGATGCAACAGCAAGCACAGCACTGCAGCAGCAGGTGTTGAGCGATAACAGGACAAGCAGCTACTGCAGCAGCAGCTGCTGCCGTTGCTGCAGCCTTAATTGCAAGCACGTACCGCAGCAAAGCGCAAAGAGACTGCCAAGTCATCCATTCTCTTTCCCCACAGCTGGGGGCCCCATCAGGTGTCTTGGTGGGGGGCCCCCCACGACACAGGAATACCCCTGGGGGTAGCTCAGCAACATCTACTGCCCATGAAGGTGGGCCCCCTGAAGGCCCTCCTGGGGGCCCCCATTCAGTGCCCTCTTCGTCAGCTATAAGCTCCACTGCTAGCAGCAGCCGACCCAAGACACGGCCTACGGGGCCCGCATGGTGCCCCTCATCAGAAGCTGCGGCAGCAGAGGAGTGTGCAGGACCAGCACCAGCAGAGGAGGGCCTGGAGGCCCCCTCAGCAAACAGGAGATCCTCAGGGGCCCCCTGATGCAGCAGCAAACTAAGAGCTGCCTCTGCTAGGGGCCCCCCGGGGCCCCCAGGGACACTTAAGACAGCACTGCCAATAAGTGTCTCCTCTTGGAGACTGTTAACGTCAGAAGCAGCAAACAAACAAAAGGAAAGATGCTCCTTCGTGCTGCAGCAGCAAACACACAGAATGCAGCAACACATACTCAGAAGCTGCTGCTGCAGCAAGAGCCTCAACAGCAGCAACAAGAGCAGCAACAACAGCAATAGGTATAAGTAGGAGCACGTCAATGACTTACTTTTGGATGCCGCCAGGGGGAGGGTTATCCTGTCGCAGCAGATGCCGTTGCTGCTGCTGCTGCTGTTGTTGTTGTTGCTGCTGCAGCGGAAAAGTGATGCATGCAGGGTCAGCAGCAGCAGCAGGACCCAACACAAGTATATCTGCAGGCATAAGAGAGGGGCCCCCCAATGCCCTTAGGGGGACTCTCCAGCGTTGCAGTGCCCTAGAGTGAGGGCCCCCATGCCGAGCTATTGCTAACGTCCAAGCACACGCCTGCTGCTGCTGCTGTTGCTGTTGCTGCTGCTGTTGCTGCTGCTGCTGTTGCTGCTGGTGCTGACGGAGCTCAGCCAGCCCCAAGACCAAGTCGGCGACGCGGATGCGCATGCAGCTGCTGACTTGAGAGGCTGCTTCTGTTGTTGTTGCTGCTGCTGCTGTTCGTGCTGTAGCCTCTGCTGCTGCTGAGGAAAGCACTATAGGTCCGTGAGGTCCCTCCGGGAAGTCCAGCAGCTCACATGTCTCTGCTGCTGCTGCTGCTTCTGCTGCTGCTTCTGCTGCTGCTTCTCTTGCTTGTGTTGCTGCTGCCACTGCTGTTGTTGTTGCTTCTGCTGCAGCAGCAGAGGACGGCTTACGCCCTGCAGTAGTCACGGAACTCTCATACTCTTCAATCTTATTGCTTCTCTCTTCCTGCTGCTGCTCTTGCTGGAGCTCTTCGTCCCGTTGCAGTTGCTGTAGCAGCAAACGATGCTGCTGCTGCAGCAGCGCAAGCTGCTGCTTCAGTCCCTCGCGCTGCTTCCGCAGCAGTGTTGTTTCATCCGCTTCGTCCACGTTTTGCTGCTCCACCTGCTGCTGTTGCTCCACTTGCTGTTCCTGCTGCTGCACCTGTTGTTGCTTCGGCTGCTGCTGCTGCTGCTTCACCAGGATAGCTTTGCTGCTGAGAGAAGCTGCTGCTGCACAAAGCAACGGGGCTTGTGGTGTCTGAGCACCTACGACTCTTGCCCAGTACCAGATACTAACTTCCACTTCCATGCTGCTGCTGCTGCTGCTGCTGTTGCTGTTGCTGCTGCGGTGATAGGACGAAGTTAGTGCTGCATCTTGGCGCTGCAGCAGCAAGACGCGTCTGCAGCAGCAGCCCCAAAATACAGCAGAAGGCTCGGCATGCTCAAGTGTCTGCAGCAAAACCCCTAACGGCATGCTTCCGACCCAACCGTCGTCTCCACGCTGCTGTTGCTGCTGCTGCAAGTGCAGCAGCAACAGTGGCTCAGCCGGGCGCAGAAGTGTCTGGAGGGCAGCAGCAGCTTCCTTTCCTGATATGCTGCTGCTGCTGCTACTAATCTCGCTCGGATGAGGCAACGCCGAAGGTAGTGAGGAGCGGAGCAGCACCAGCGGCTCTCCAGGTGTTGCTTCTGTTGCTGTTGCTGTTGCTGCTGTTGCTGCTGCTGCTGGGAAATCTGCGCGAAGCTGCTCGTCGAACCCGAAAAAGCTGCAGCGCATGCTGAAGGCAGCAGCAAGGCCTGAAGTTGATGCGGTAGCAGCAGGTGCTGCTGCTGCTGCTGCTGCCTGGCAGCGTACGCGTGGCTTGCTGATCTGCAGCAGCAGATTGTGCTGCACAAAGGAAGATGCGAGGGCTTGAAAAAGAGGTTTTATCTTTTCTTCTGCTTCTGCATCTATATCTGCTGCTCCTGCTGCTGCTGTTGTTGCTGCTGCTGTTGCTGCTGCTCGCGCGCGTCGGCACGCCTTCTGCGCAGTGCGCCTGATGATGCCTTCGGCCTCATCAGCCGGAAGTTGCTGCTGCTGCTGCCGACCGAGCAGGGCGTTTCTTGCTGCAGCAACCTCGGGGGGTGCCGCCGCATGCAGCAGCAGCTCAGCACGTTGCTGCTGGTGCTGCTGGTGCTGCTTCTGCTGCGCTTCGTCCAAGAAGAGAGCCAAAAGCTCAACACAAGCAGACAGAGAAACCTGTAGCAGCAGCAACAGCAACAGCAACAGAAGCAGCAATGAAGCATGCATTCCCCCCTCGTGAGGCTCGGGGAGCAGCAACAGCAGCAACAGCAACAGCAGTTAGAGCAACGGCAACAGCAGTGTCAGCAGCAGCACAATGAGCCGCGAAGGATGTACTTACTGTGTACGAGTAGCTGCTGCTCATATCTTTAGCCTGCTTTTGCTGCTGCTGCTGTTGCTGCTGTAGTAGCAGCAGCCAAAGTTCTGCTGCAGCGCTGCTGCCCCTGCGGGCAAAGAAGGCTCTAAATTCTTCCACAGACACCCGATATCCTTGCTGCTGCTGCAGTTGCTGCAGTTGCTGCAGCAGCACCAGCTGTTGCTGCTGCTGTCCCGGGCCCAGCCCAAGGAATAGAGCTGGCAGTTGCTGCTGCAGCTCTGGTAGCTGCAACTGCAGCAGCTCTTGCAAGGACTTGCGGTCTTGTACTTGCTGCACCAGACGCTGAACGGCAGCATCCACGCACGGGCAGTGTCCCTTGCTGCTGCTGCTGCTCCTGCTGCAGTTGCAGCGGCAGCAGGGCTGTAGGCCGTCCCACAGTGTTGCTTGAAGTGCAGCACGCCAGTCTGCTGCTGTGGGCTTGCGCCCTGCTGCGCTGCAGCAGCAAACTGAAGCAAACAGTTGCAGAACATCGAGGGAATTAAGTGCAGCAACAGCCCGCATGCGCAGCAGCAAGAGCTGCAGCAGAATGCCATCACAACGCGTAACAACAGCACTGCTGCTGCTGCTGCTGCTGCTGCTGCTGCTGTCTTCAGCAGCAGGGCCTAACGACAGGAGGCGTTGCTGCACTGCTGATTGAAGAGGCTTTACATACACCAAACCCTGCTGCATATCAAACAGCGGCTGCTGCTTTTGCTGCTGCTGCTGCTGCTGCAGGGAGGTGAACAGCTGCAGCAGCTCTCCAGGGAACACGCGGTGTCCGCGTGCATGCAGTGCTGCAGCTGCGTCTTTTAGAGAGACAGCTGCATCTTGTGGAGAGCAGCAGCCGAGCTGTATAGACACCGCAGCAAACAAAGCAGCAGCAGCAGCAATATGCACCAAAGGCAACAAGCTGCTGCCCTGTCGTCATCTATGCTGCTGCTGCTACAGCAGGGAGGGGAGTGCATGTTGCACGTTGCTGCTCACCTGTGCTGCTGCTGCGGTGAGGGCCCCTGCAGCAAGACACTGCAGCAGCAGCCTCTGTTTGCTGCTGCTGCGTCTTGCTGCGTCGTCCATAGCACGGAAGAGCATCGAGGCATCACAAACATCAGCAGGCAGACCCTGGTCTGGTCCACACCTGCACAGCAGCAGCAGCAACAACAGCAACAGCAGCACTGAATGCAGCATAGATAGCAGAGCTAATAGCAGCACCTGCAGCAGAATATCCAGGAGTAGCAGCAGATACTGGTGAGCATGCACAACACCAGCCGCTGCAGCGGCATGTTACAGCAGCAGCAGCAGCAGCAGCCTGTACACCTTACCAGTCTGCAAGGGCATCAAGATCAGCAGCAATAAGAAGTCCCTGTGCAAGACTTGCTGCTGTTTGCTGCAGCGCCAAACGGGATACCAGCACCTGTCCATCAGCTGCTGCAACTGCTGCTGCTGCCGCTTCTGCTGCTTCTTGCTGCTGCTGATATTCAGGCATACCCCTGAGCTTATGCTCTGCTGCTGCTAGAAGGTCAGCCAGCAACTCAGATTCTGTATGGGGGGCCACTCCTTCCTGTTGCTGTTGCTGCTGCTGTTGCTGTTGCTGTTGCTGCTGCTCTTGCTGCTCCATTGAGGTTAGACGCTGCCTCAGCAGCAGAAAGAGGACGCGGCATGCAGCGCTGCTGCAGACACCCCAAAATTGTTTTTGCGAGGCAAGCGCAGCCAGTAGATCTTGTACATGCAACAGCGGCAGCGTCTGGTAGAGCTGCTGCTGCTGTTGCTGCTGCTGCTTCTTGCTGCTGCCACTGCGCCTTGCTGCAGCACGAGGATCCACATATTCAGCAACAGCTAGGCGATCAAATAAATCATCTGCTGCTGCGCTGCTTACTAGTGCAGCACGGAGAGCAGCAGCACGGCGGAAAGATGTCCTGTACAGACACAGTGCCTTGTTGCTGCTGCTGCTGTTGCTGCTGCAAGTCAAGTCTCTTGCTGCTGACGTGCTGCAGCCCAAGTGTATGCACAGATCCGCGAACGTCCAGCTGCTCAGCAGCATCTTCTCTCGCAGTCGCTGCAGCGCAGGATGTGCTCGAAGTGCTGTTGCACTCAGCTGCTGTTGCTGCTGCTGTTGCTGCTGTTGCTGCTGCTGCTTTGAGGGGTTCTCGTTTAACAACTCTGCGAGCTCAAAGATTCCACCGCTTCCCCCTACATCAAACTCCTGCTGCTGCTGCTGCTGCTGCTGCTGGGTTTCTTGCGCCTCGAGTCTCCTCAAGGCAACAAGGGCTTTGCTGTCCCGCTGCAGCTGCAGCAGCTCAGCATCCTGCAGCAGCAACTGCAGCGCAGCAGCAGAGACGCTGCCTCTTGCTTTTGGATCTGCTGCATCAAACAGCAAATGAAGGGACGTGCTTACAGCTCCCACAGCACTTTTCCCCCTGTTGCTGCTGCTGCTGCTGCTGCAGTTGGTGCTAAAAGTAGGCAGCAGCAGCAGGGTACACTCTTCTACAAACACCCATCGCGACACATCGGTTGCTGCTGCTGCTGTAGGAATTATGTGGTATTTAATGCGTCGTAGAAGGGCAGCAGCAGCAGTCTCCGGGGTCGATGAATCTGCTGCAGCACTTTGCTGCTGCTGCTGCTGCTGCAGCAGACGGTCGCAGCAAAAGTTCTCGATAGAAATGTTATTTGCTCGTAGAGATCGGAGCAGCAGCAGCAGCAGCTCGTGCTGCTGCTGCTGAAACACTCGGTAGCTGCTGCGAACCCTACAAGGGTCCAGCAGAGCAGCATCACTTGTGTTGCCGCTGCTGCTGCAGGTGTTGCTGCTGCTCCTACATGGTGGACTTGCCGCTGCTGCCGGGGACGCTAAGGCGCTAAGGCCTGCTGCTTCAATTAGAGCAGCAGCACGGGGACCTTCCCATACACCCCAGCTTCCCTCCCTGCATGCATTCAGCAGCAGCAGCAGCAGCAGCAACTTAGGAAATTAAATAGCAGCAAAACAAACTCGTTTAGCGCCACCGCCCCAGAGCAGCAGCACGAGACAGACCAGCAGCAAACACCGGCGATAGTAGGAACAGCAGCAGCAACAGAAACAGCAGCAACTGACTCAGGGGAAGATGTTGCAGCAGGAGAGAAGGGCTGCGAGTTAAATAGGCAGCAAAACACATCCTGCAACACAAGCGGTGCTAGCTGCTGCGCTGCATGCAGCCAATACTCCAACATTGATAAATTCAGACTGCTGCTGCTGCTGCTGCTGCTGCTGTTGATGGTGCTGCTCCTTGCTGCGGCTTCCAGCAGCAGCTGCAAGGCGCGAGCTGCTGTTTGCCGCATCCCCAGCCGCAGCAGCACCTGCAGCGACACACAAACCCAGATATGCAAGGACTGCAGCAGCAACAACAGCAACAGCAGCAACAGCAGCAGAAACAGCCGCAGCAGCTTGCTTACCTTGTTTGCGTCATTTGCAGCAGAGGGTGCTCCTGCTGCTGCTGCTGCTGCGGATAGGCCCGCGCCAGTAAGGACTCTCTGTAGGCCCCCACGCATGCGTGCAGCAGCAAGTAACAGTAACAAATCGTCCCTGAGCTCTGCTGCTGCTGCTGCTGTTGCTGCTACTGCTGCCTGCCGTGGCCCCTGCAGCAGTGCTTCAAGCCACCACGGGGTTGTGGCCCTCGATGCACCCCATTCCCTTTCTGCTGCCCCAGCAGCAGCAGCAGCAGCAGCAGCACGAGCTGCTGCATGCAGGTAAGAAGGTAACCTTCTAAAGTCGCTATAAGATATATATCCATCCCCACGGATATCCAGCAGCAGCGACAGCAGCACACTTAACTGCAGCAGCAGCAGCACAAACACACGCATGCACCAGCAGCAGCAGCACATATACACGTACGCCCCAGCAGCAACTGCTGCATACCCCAGTCAGCAACAACTACAAGCCCATAGGCCATTAGCAAGCTCGCCGCTGCTGTTGCTGCTTCTGTTGCTACTGGTGTTGCTGCTGCTGCTGCTGCACTGGCCTTACGTGCGGTGGGAGCCCAAGGACGGTCTCGAGACCTCGGGCTGTCTGCGCTGTCGTCAGCTCCAGGGAGTCCTGGTGCTGCTGCTGCTGCTGCTGCTTGTTTGCTGCCAGCAACGCAGCAAAGAGGACAAAGGGGGGGAGACTGAGTGCTGCTGTTTGCGCCTGTTGCCATTCTTCTCGCAGCAGCAGCTTTCTGCTTACTAGCCAAGGCTCTTGCTGCTGCTGCTGCTGCTGCTGCACAGCCACGACCCATTGGCGGGCCTCCTCGTCTAAGACGACTCTACTGTTTGCAAAGGCCTCCGATGCATGCGAACCTGCTGCTGCTGCTGCTGTTGTTGTTCCTGTTGCTGCTGCTGCAGCCAGTGCTGCATGGCCCCCGCGCGTTTGCTGCAGCAGCTCTGATCGGAATGCAACGGCGCGCTTCTGCAGCTGCTGCAGCAGCTGCTCAGCAGCAGCAGCAGATGAAGACCCTGCAGCAACAAGCTGCGCATCTGCTGCAGCAACAGGTAGTAGCTGCTGCAGCAAGCAGCAGCAACGCGAAGGAGAGAAGCTGCTATCTAAGCTATCAAGGCTTAAACTCCCCAAAATATCCTGTGCAGCAGCAGCAGCTGCTGCTGCTGCTGCACCAAACACTGCTGCTTCTGCTGCAGCAACACCACAGGGCACATCTAGCCACGGCAGCAAATTGTGACGGCGCATGTGCAGCGCAGCAAATGCTGCATGCGCCGCTTCCATCAAAACACTGTTGCTGCTGCTGCTCTTGCTGGTGCTGCTGCTGCTGCTAGGAACGAAAGACAGCAGCCACCGCAGTGCAACCTCAGCAGCAGCAGGAGGTGTGGGTATGCCAAGAGCTGTCCATACACCCAATGGGGTGTCTGCGTTATCGACGCCTTGCAGCTGCAGCGACAATGGAGGTGCTGCTGCTGCTGCTGCTTCAGGCTGCTGCTCTTTGCGCAGATATTGCTGCAGCACAGCCACAATGTCGCTACAGCCAATGGATCCCAGCAGCAGGCGGACGTACAGACACCGCAAGACAAGCATGCATGCAGGTGGTATATCCAGCTGCTGCTGTTGCTGCTGTTGCTGCTGTTGTTGGTTCTGCTGCTCGCGCTGCCACACGAGCAGCAGATCATTTGCTGCACCTTGTGCCTTTTCTGCTACCTGCTGCGCCCTTGCTGCAGCAACTTCATCCGAAAGACTTAACGTAGGCGCACAGCTGCTGCCTGCTGCTGCTGCAGCAGCAGCAGCATGAGGCGTAGCGGCTCCTGTCAAGCCACTGGGTGCAGCCGCTGCTGCTGCTGCTTCTACCTGCTGCAGGAGAACACTGCAACAGACCAATGCCGTAGAATGCGCGCTAGCAGGTGGTGAGGCTGCAGCTGCTGCTGCAGCTGCTGCAGCTGCTTCGGCTTCTTCGCCTGTTGCTGCAGCTGCTGCAGCTGCCTCAACATCAGCAGCAGCCTCTGCTGCGTCTGCTGCCTCGAGCAGCAACTCCAGCAGCAAAGCCTTCTCCTCTTGAATACCCCTGCAGCAGATATAAGGGAGACTCCGCAGCGACAGCAGCAAACAAGCTAGCCGCATGCGAGGAGGGCTTGCCGTTGCTGCTGCTGCTGCTGCAGTAGCTAGTCCTCCTGCTACGTCCTCTGTCTGCTGCTGCTGCTGCTGTGTCTCCTGCAGCACGCGACTCAATATGTGCTGCAGTGCATGCACAGAGATCACCATCTCGGGTTCTTTACGTCTTGCTGCTGCTGCCGCTGCTTTTGCTGCTGCTGCTTCTGGATGAACTGTAGCAACACCAGCAGCTGCTGCAGCAGAGAGTTCCTTGCGCAGCCTCTCGCATCCCTGTGGAGCAGCAGCAATGGAGGAGGAGCAGCAGCTAAGAGCATCAGCAGCAGCAAGGAGTGCTTTCTCTTCCCTTGCGCTGCGGCGGGAGAACAGCAGCAGCAGCAGCTGCATATCAACAAGGCCTTCTGCTGCTTCATCCAGCAGCAGCAGCAGCTGCTGCATCAGCACAGAGTTTGCTGCTAGGCAAATCCCCACCTGCAGCAGCAGCCTCGATAGATCATCTGCTGTCAATCGGAACCTCCCGCTGCTGCTGCTGCTGCTGCTGCTGCTGCACCTGCTGCTCCTGCTGCTGTTTGTGCTCGCCGATAGTTCGTTGGTCTTAAGGGAGCAAAGCAGCTGCTGCAACCGCCTCGCAACACCGCCTGCCGTTGCTGCATTTGCTGCCTGGTTTGCTGCTGCTCCTGCGGTTGCTGCTGCTGCAGTTGCTTCGGGTTGTTCGTACTGCCGCTGCAGCAGCCCAGCAACAACAGCATCTGCTGCTGCTCTTCTTTTGTCGATGACCTCAGCAGCAAACTGCAGCGAAACCCCCTCCTCTTCCTCCTGCTGCTCCTGTTGCTGCTCCTGCTGCTGCTCCTGCTGCAGTAGAAGCAGCTCCTGCACTTTCGTCCTGCTCCTTGGCAGTTCAAGTGCAGGCGCCGGGCTGCTGCTGCCCCAAGCAGCAGCAGCAGCAGCAGAAGTTGCTCCACCTGCTGCTGTATCGTCCATGTTTGCGGATGGGCATCGAGTAGATGCGCAGCCGTTAGGAGTTAGCAACTCAGCAGCTGTTGGCGCTGCTGCTGCTGCTGCTGCTGCTGTTTCTGCTGCTGCTGTTTTGCTGCCAGCAGCAGAAGAATAAAAGCCTTGACCCTTCAGCTGCAGCTTCAGTGCTTGCTGCTGCTGCAGCAGCGCATGCACGAATTGCTGCCCCTCTACGACGCTCATACCAATCCATACCAGCCGAGACTGCATCGTGCTGCAGCAGCAACAGCAACAACAGCAGCAGCAGCACAGAAGTGTTAAAGCTCGGAGCAATAACTCAGTGCAGCAACAGCTGCAGCAGCATTAGCAGGAGCAACAACTGCAGCAGCAAGCAGCAGCAGCCAGCAGCAGGAGCAGGAACAACAACAACGGTAGCAGAAGCAGCAACAACAATAGCAGCAGCAGCAGCAACAACAGTAGCAGCGGCAACAAGAACAGCAGCAAGAAAGTTACCTGGCAGCAACGGAGCTTCGATGAGGGAACCTGCGGGGTGCTGACATGTTGACTAGCCGCTGCTTCTGCCGTTGCTGCTGCAGCTGCTGCAGCTGCTGCTGCTCTGCTAGCAAAGTAGCAAGCTTGCATCCGGATACATCTAATCGCAGCAGCGTACGGTGCGCAGCAGCAAGCGTAGCATCTGCAGCAGCAGCAGCAACTGCTGCTGCTGCTTCTGCTGCTGCTGCTGTTGGTGGTGCTGCAGTACCCCCGCCATACAACAGACGCGCAGGCTGCGGCTGTGGCTGCGGCTGCGGAAGCGGCTGCAGCAGCGAAGTCTTCCTTTCATCTTCTGTGTCACTTGGCTGCAGCAGCTGCTGCTGTTCTTGCTCCTGCTGCTGCTGAAGGTGCTGTTGATGCAGGTGCTGCTGGTGCTGCAGGTGCTGCTGCTGCTGCAGCAGGTGCTGCTGCTGCTGCAGCTGCTGCTGCTGCTGGTGATGCAGGTGCTGCTGGTGCTGCTGGTACTCGGGGTGTTGCTGATACGTGTCGACTGGTTGCTGCTGCTGCTGCTGCTCCAGCTGCTGCTGCTGCTCCAGCTGCTGCTGCTGCACCAGGTGCTGCTGCTGCTCAAGCGGCTGCTGCTGCTCAAGCTGCTGCTGCTGCTGCTGTGGTTGAAATGGCTGCGGTAGGAGGTGGGCTTCTTCTCGCGCCTGCTGCAGCGGCTGCTGGGCTTGTGCCTCCAGTAACTGCCTCTGCTGCTGCTGCTCTTGCTGCTGCTGCTGCTCGCGTATGGATAGAAGGTGCCCCCCAAAGACTTGGGCACGGCAGCGCAGCAGCGGCTGCTGCGTAGAGAGAGACAGCAAGACACAGTCCTCTTCTTTTAACAATGCTGTCTGCTGCTGCTGCTCCTGCTGCTGCTGCTGCTGCTGCTGCTGCAGGGGGAGCATTTCCTCTGGTAGACATAGATGGCCTATGGCTATACACTTCATTCCTGCTGCAAATGCTGCACCGTCTATTGCTGTTGCTGCTGCTGCTGCTGCTGCTGTGTCTGCAGCAAGCCATGCTTCGAGTGTCAAGCGGCGTGGAGAGCCGCGGCGCAGCTGCAGAGGAGATGCTGCTGCTGCTGCTGCTGCAGCAACAGCAGGAAATGATGTAGAACTGACCCAAAACGGCTCAGGGGACACCAGCCACGCAGTGTCTCCGCTGCTGTTATTGCTGCTGCTGCTGCTTCTGCTGCTGCTGTTGCTGCTGACATCAATGGGCTTAGAAGCAACTCGCGTTGTGCTGCTGACTCTGCATGCAAAGACAATGAGGGAGCTGCTGTGTTGCTGCAGCAGCTGCACCTGCTGCAGCAGCTGCACTTGCTGCAGCACAACCGCAAGATGCGCTCCTGCTGCTGCGGCTGCTGTTGCTGCAGCAGGAGACACCAAGCCACGCAGACGCATGTGCTGCTGAGCAGCATGGGGAGTTGGTGGTACAGAGGGTATCAGCTCCTCTGGTTCCTCTGCTGCTGCTGCTGCTGTTGCTGCTCCTGCTGTGGCTACTGGGCGAAGGCCCCTCGCTGGGACACCAGGAAGGACAGTGTGGTCGCTGCTGCTGCGCTGCTGCTGCTGCTGCTGCGGCTGCTGTACTTGGGGGAGGAGAGAATCAGGGATATCTGCATGCACAAGCAGCTGCCCTGCAAGTGGATTGCGGCGCAGCAGCAGCAACTGCCGCTGCTGCTCCTTCTCGTCCTGCTGCTGCTGCTCTTCCTGCTGCTGTCTTGTTGGATCTCCACCGCTGCAGCTGCGGCGTCTGCTGCTGCTGCTGCCGCTGCTGCTATGTTGCAACTCAAAGAGACTAACAGCAGCAAACTGCTGCGGTGCAGCAGCACCATCCGCATTAGCAGCAGGGCCATCAAACTGATGTTGCTGCTGCTGCTGCTGCTGCTGCAGTTGCTGCCAGGTAGCAGCACCAAGGGCCAATGGTCTTACCCCGTTAGGTGTTGCATGCAGCCAGCCATAGCGTCTGCATAGTTCTGCTGTTAGCTGCTTCCCTCTGCTAAGAGGCCTGCTGCTGCTGCTGCTGCTGCTGCTGACATTAATCTGCTCCGCAAGCATAAACAAGAGAGGCTGCTGCAACACTGCTTGCTGCTGCTGCTGCTGCTGCTGCTGCTGCTGTGGTTGCGGGCAGCAAAGAAGCTGCTGTATCTGCAGCAGCAAACCGCACTGTCTCCGCATGCCGCAGCAAATCACCTCCCGGTGGCAAGCAGCAAATTGCTGCTGCTGCTGCTGCTGCTCAAGCCCCCTTATGTCGCTGCTGCTGCTGCTGCTGCTGGTAGGGACAGAGACAAACAGCAGCAGAGCGTCCTGCTGCTTAGGCAGCTGCCGCGCGAAGCTGCTGCGCAGCTCAATTGTAGCTAACAGCAAACGTGCTTCCTCCCCTGCAGCAGGTGCTGCTGCCGTTGTTGGTGCGGTTGTTGCTGCTGCTGCTGTTGCTGCTGCTGCTGCTGTTGCTGCTCCTGCTGCCTTCGTGCTTCGATGAAGGGCCCCTGACTGCCCTTGACGGCAATACGAGAGCCACAAACCCTTCGGGGGCACCCTATAGGGGCCCCCTTCTCGATGCTGCTGCTGCTGCTGCTGCTGCTGCTGCTGCTTCGTATGGGTAGAGGGGAAGTGCGGGGCCGTAGGGGCAAGAGGAGCAGCAGAGTTTAGAGGATCTGTAGCAATTAGACTCAGTTCCTGCAGCTCCTGCTGCAGCATCAACTCCCGCTGCTGCAGCTGCTGCTGCTCACGCTGATGCTGCTGCAGCAGCTGCGCCCAATGGCTGCCTTGCTGCGGCGCACCCCAGCTACTGTGTAGCTGCTGCTGCTGTTGCTGCTGCTGTTGCTGCTGCTGTTGCTGCTGCTGTTGCAGCTGCTGCGGCTGCGGTGGGGGCAGCTGGTAAGTCTGTAAGGGGGAACAGCAGGAAGAGGCGGCACTAAGACTAGCAGGAGACCCTTGCTGCAGCGCTTGCTGCTGCTGCTGCTGCTTTTGTTGTTGCTGCTGCTGTTGCTGCTGCTGCTGCTGCAAGCATTTACTTGAGGGGCCACCGGCTCCCAGGGCGGCGGTAACAAAGCTGAAATCTCCTCCCGAATCAGACAACCTGCTGCTGCTGTTGCTGCTGTCGCTGCTGTTGCTGCTGCTGCTGCTGCTGCTGCAGGGTTCAGTGTTCAACATCTCCAAGGGGACCCCAAGATCATCTACTGTATCTGTAGCACAACTCGAGTCCAGGGCCCAAGTACCCTCTTGGGGCCCCCCGGGGGGCCCCTGCTGTACCATCTTTAATGGGTGGGACAGGGAATCCATCTGTCTTGCTGCTGCTGCTGCTACTGCTGCTTTGGCTGCAGCTGCAGCAGCAGCTGCGGATACTTGGTAGTGGTGCTGCCAATGCTGCCGCTGCTGCACCTGCTACAGTAAAGAAAATCAATGCTGAGGCTTCTCTTGTTTCTTTTCTTCCTTATTGTGCTGCTGCCCTTGCGCCCCTTCGTGTTGGTGCTGCAGCAGCTGCTGCTGCGGCTGCTTTTGCTGTTCCTCCAGCTGGCGGGTTGGTGCAGCGGTGGCTGCGGCACCAGCAGCAAAACCTCCTTAGAGTCTTGGTAACGAGGAGGCCCTCTAAAATGCCTTTTGCAGTCTGACGGGGCCCCCCCGCTGCTGCTTGGGGGCCCTTGAGCCAAGGTCCCTGTCGGCAGCGGCAGCAGCAAGCGGCGGCAGCGGCAGCGGCTGCTGCTGCTGCTGCGGCTGCTGCAGCTGCAGCGTGTGCTGGCTGGAATGCAATGGACTAATAATAAGATGAATAAAGTAAGTTTAACAGGAGCAACAGCAGCAGCAGCAACAGCAGCAGCAGCAGCATCGTAACATCTTGTCTGTCTGTGGCTGGGTGGTGAAACAACCCCACCACCAGTACCCTGGGGGCCCCTGGGGGCCCCCCACATGCCTTAGCAGTTTTTTGCATTTATTTTCTCTATTTCCTTTTATGTACTCCCCTTACAATAAAACGAAAGGTTGTTTATAGCTGTACCCTTTAATTAAATAGGGCATCCTTACCTGCGAACCCTTTTATAGGGCCCCCAGGGGCCCTGTGGAGGCACAATTAGGCGGGGGGCCCAAGTTAATACTGTATAAGGGTTTATTATTTAGAGAAAGAGGAAGAAGAAGGGTACTTGGTATTAGCCATTAAGAGACAGCAAGCCCCCCACAAGGGCCCCACAGGCAAGGGCCCTCCGTAGGGGCCCCTCTCTATACACCCTAGTTTATGGCAAACGTCTTAGAAACCCTTGAGGGGCCCCCAACTGTACCCTGGGGCCCCTATAGAAGAGCAACAGTTTAGGGTTTAGGGTTTACGATGAACTAAAGAGACGCTATACAAGACTCCCTAGTCCTCGTATAAATACCTAACTAAACCCTTAAGGGTATGGGGGGCCCCTGGGGCCCCCCTTCTCTCTTCTCTTAGTGTTTGTTTATTTATTCACAGAAAAAGCAACAAAATACTTGCGTTTAGGGTTTAGGGTTTATAGCCACCTAGGGAAACACTTCCCCTAGGGTTTAGGGTTTATGGTTTAGGGGCCCCTTTTTATTGCTGCAGGGGCCCCCAAGAAAGGGTTCAAGAAGCAGCAGCAGCAGCAGTGTCTTTGCTGCAGTTATCTGCCACCGCCTCCTCTGGGGCCCCTACGGCCCCGTTGGCCCCTGCCTCGCCCCTCTCGCTGTCCTATTAGCATGAGGCCCTCCTGCAGCAGCAGCAGCAGCAGCAGCAGCAGCAGCAGTAGCGAAGCAGCGCGCAGTTGTTCCCCTACGCCCCGTAGAATAGAGGGTTTATAAGGACTAGGGTTTAGGCACTAGGGTTTAGGAATTAGGGTTTAGGGTTTAGCGATTAGGGTTTAGGGTTTAGGGTTTAGGATACTCGAGCTTCCTGGTTTCCCCCCAATCGTCGCAACGCGCTTAGATGGAACTGCAGGTCCTGTACCTGCAGCAGCAGCAGCAACAGCAGCAGCAGCAACAGCAGCAGCAGCAGCAGCGAGACAGCAAGTGTAATACAAGCATCATCAGTAGCATCAATAACCCACGCACCAATAGCAGCAGCAGCAGAAGCAGCAGCAGCAAAAGCAGCAGCAACAGCAGCAGCAACAGCAGCAGCAGCAGCAGCAGCAGCAGCAGCAAGGGTTTACTTCTTGTTTAAGTTCAGCGATTCTATTTTGTAATTTAGCCGCGAGTTTTTCTTCTTTTTCCCTAATAAATAAATAAATAAATAAATAAATAAATAAATAAATAAATAAATAAATAAATATTATTATTATTATTATTATTTATTTAGTATATATAATAAACCCTAAACCCTAAACAAAAGAAGGATGCAAACAGGAAAAAAAAAGTGTATATATAAAGTTACCGTCTAGGGTTTAGGGTTTATTAATTAGGGTTTATTAATTAGGGTTTAGGGTTTATTATTTAGGGTTTAGGGTTTATTAATTGGGGTTTATTAATTAGGGTTTATTAATTAGGGTTTATTAATTAGGGTTTATTACTGTGTCTCCTTTTGTTTCTCCCTTTGCTGCTGCGCTTGCGAGGAAAGAGAAGCAAATAAGGAACGAAGAGGCACCAGCTGCTGCTGCAGTTGCTGCTGCTGCTGCTGCAGCCGCCGTTCTTTTTCCTCTAGCTAAGCAGCAAACAAACAGACACACACACAACTCCCTCCATCATCCTAGGGTTTAGGGTTTTAGGGTTTACGGTATTAGGGTTTTAGGGTTTAGGGGTTAGGGTTTTGGGGTCTAGGGTCTAGGGTTTTGGGGTTTAGGGTTTTAGGGTTTAGGGTTTAGGGTTTAGGGTTTACTGCTAATGTGTCTTTACGAGAGGTTTCTAGTTTTGCCTCTAATGCAGCAACTGTCTCCTCTGTACGACGGAGAGCAGCACGGCAGTCCTGCAGCAGCAGCAGCAGCAGCAGCAGCAGCAGCAAGAGCATTATCATCACCACCAGGAGCATCAGCAGCAGCACCACCACCATCGTCAACAGCAGCAACATCACCACAACCACCATCACCACCACAACCACCACTACAACCACCAACAGCAGCAGCAGCAGCAGCAACAGCAGCAGCAGCAACAGCAGCAGCAGCAGCAGCAGCAGCAAAAATACTAACCTGTAGAGGAGCTAATAGATTTTCTTGTGTTTCTTTGATTTTTTTTCTATAAAATAATTCTTGGCTCTCTAAGGAGGCAGCAAGTAATTGATTAAATTCAGATACCCAGCTACCTTTATCCTGAGGGGCCCCACAGGGTACAGTTGGGGGGCCCCCTGGGGGGCCCCCTGATGATGTAGGGCCTACACACTCCCTACAGTCACCTAATACAGCAACCAACAAGAGATAACATATATACATAGGCAATAAATAGATGCTGCTGCTCCTGCTGCTGCTGCTCCTCCTGCTACTGTTCCTGCTGCTGCTGCTGCTGCTGCTGCTGCTGCTGCTGCTGCTGCTGCTGCTGCTGCTCTTACCTGAATAAGGAGACAGTTGTGCCTTTGTCTTATCTGCCTTAGGGAGGAGACAATCAATAAATTGATTTAATTCAAAATCAAATACTCTGTTGGAGACACTCTAAGGAGAAAAAAAAAAAAAAAAAAAAAAAAAAAAAAAAAAAAAAAAAAAAAAAAAAAAA